GGTTCTGTAATTTTCATTGTATAAATCTTTCACCTCTTTTGTTAGGTTGATTCCCAAGTATTTTATTTTTTGGGGGGATATTGTGAATGGAGTAGTTGTCCTCATTTCCGTTTCAGAGGATTTGTCGCTCATATACAGGAACGCCTTGAATTTTCTAATTAAGCATACTAAAAATTTTCTTTATTGCTAAAGCTAATCAGAGCCTGACTGTATGTGATTTGTAACCAAAGGAATACTAAATGCCACACAGATCATTTTCAGTAAACATTTCATAACTCAAATTTAGATAAAAGAAAATTATGATAGACTTCTGCAATTAATATCTTATTGAATATTAAGCACAGTTGATCTATTCAATTGGAACATCTTATTTCTTAGAATGTTTAAAGAAATAATACAGGAGTAAGTGTACAATAAGTGTACAACGGTGTATGCTCAGTAAATGCATACTGAACTGGGAAATTTAGTTTCGGACATCACAGGTATTCAATTTCTAAGAAAAAAAGAGCCTTGTCCAATTAAACACAATATAATGAAGTAAGAAGTGGTATCAACAAAGTGTTTGAGAGTACAGAAAAGGGATCATTTAATTCCTTTAAAAATACAAACTGTGTAACTCCAGCTACTTGGGATACTAAGGCAGATGATTTGAGGCCATCCTGAGCAACTTAGAGAGGCTGCCACAAAATAAAATAATAAGGGCTGGCAATGTAGCTTGTAAAGTACTTGCTAAACATGCATAAGACTCTCTAGTACTGCAAATAAAAACCAAACCACTGATGATGTAATGGCATTCCTCAGTGTTTGAGCTTTCAATGATTGAAAAATAAAGTCTGATATTATGATGATTTTTAAAACCTGCAGGTACCTTTTCAGACTTATTCCAGGTTTCATGACCTATCTAAATGGAATTTCTCTAGATTTCTTGAAAATATTCCATCATCTTAATTTAGCTAAAATGCCTCCCTGTCTGTTTTAGCAAACTCTCACTCCTCCAAGTGTCATTTCTGTTAATCCTATCCCAAATCCTCTCAGCAGTTCAATTATTTGTCTGTGGTAGGAAATAATTTTTTTATTTATTTGGCAAGACAAGCATCATTAAATGTTCAACAAATTCTCTTTGCTATAGTTAGGACATGTAAGTAATATTGCAATTATCCTGTCACAGATAAGAAACACTCTCAAATAAATTCATTTGCCCAAACTCAAAAGGCAAGAAGTAAACTGCAGACACTATTTGAAGTAAGGTCTACCTGAATAAAAGTGACCTTTACTCTATGGTCTTCACTTAGCACTCAGCATACTCTATCATTTATTACATAAGAACTTATCTACATTTTTATAATCTCCAGTATTTAGGTAGTACCTGGTACATAGAAATGCTTAAAAATATGTTAAAAAAATGAAGAATGAAGGGAGAGTTTTGGGAGATATGTGTTGAGGAATAGAAAGAAGTATCACAAAATTCAGGGGAAAAAAGAAATTTAAGAAGGTAGAGCCGAAGTATTCCCATTCTATAAAGAAGATAAAGAGTAAGAAAACAACAGATTTGAAAATTTGGTTTTCTATCACTTCAGAAGTCAGTTTCTATAGAGTAATATGGACATAAGCCAACATGTAGTAAGAGTAAGTGGTGGCTAGATGAAGGCCACAAGTTGTCATATGGGATTTGGAAATAAAGGAAAGCAAAAAGAGGACTGCAATTTGTGTAGGACGTGTGGAAAGTGGTGACTTGGATCCCGATCTCTGACTACATCACGGCTATATTTACGCTGGGAACTTCCTGTGCAAAGACACAGGTCAAGATTGCCCAGTTGCTATGATGACGCCTGAAGTGGTTCTGTGCAAAGGCATGAAGTTGTATCAGTCTGGACCTTGAGCTCAGGCACCAGCTACCAGAGATAGAGATTTTTTTGGGGGGGGTGTGGGGCACAGGGTACAGGGGATTGAACTCAGGGGCACTTGACCACTGAGTCACATCCCCAGCCCTTCTTTGTATTTTATTTAGAGACAGGGTCTCACTGAGTTGCTTAGTACCTCACTGTTGCTGAGGTTGGCTTTGAACTTGTGATCCTCCTGTCTCAGCCTCCCAAGCTGCTGGAATTACAGGTATGCATCACTGCGCCAGGCAGGATAGAGAATTCTGAGCACAACAAGATAACACTAATATCTCATCAGTGCTGGGTCCTTTAGTCTGTGTGCTTTGCAGAAATTTTCCCACAAATAACCTTTTTTTTTTTTTTTAAGATTTCTTTATTTTATAAATTTATTTTTATGTGGTGCTGAGAATTGAACCCAGGGCCTCGCATGTGCTAGGCAAACGCTCTACCACTGAGCCACAATCCCAGCCCACAAATAATTTTTAATGATAAAACTTATTTAATAAACATGTTGAGCTTATCTCTGGGTTACTGTTTGTCCATCAGAGGACAATGTTCCACCACTGGTCCCACCTTTCTCTATGTGTTTTTCTTTTCTCAATCCCCATTGCCTCTAGATTTCTGAATTAATACCTGTACTGGTCACAACAAGGAAGTAGAGTTAAGAGAAAGTTTTTTTGTTTTTGTTTTTTTTGGGTACTAGGGATTGAACCCAGAGGTGCTTAACCACTAACCCACATCTCCAGCCCTCTTTATGTTTTATTTTGAGACAGGGTCTCCAGCATGCATATATACTACTGCGTCCAGCAAGAGAAAGTTCTTGTAGTATAAAAGGCTTAATCATTTTTCGCAGGATGTATAAGATGCAGAAAGAATCACCAAAAAAAAAAAAAAGGTAGGAAGAAGCCAAAAGCAAGAGAAGGAACAGAGAAAGACCATCTTTCTTGATGGAAGAAAGTAAATTGGTCTGTATTTATTTAGTAAACAGAAGGTATATCCACAGGCTAGGGAAGAAATCTGTCAGGTTTGTTCTTCAAAATAGAGGGGAGGGTTGGGAGTGTCAGTGATAGCCTGTTTGCCTAGCATATTCAAGGCCTGGGGTTCAATCCCCAGTATCACAAAAAAAATAAACAAACAAACAACAACAACAAAAAACAAAATAGAAGGGGAAAGATGAAATACAAGGAATGAGACACAGTCAACAAGAGATAAATTTTAAAAATCATTGTTCACACACTAAGGAACTGACTTTTAAAAACAGTCTACATGATCATTAAATTAATGGTCTACATTGTTAATTTCTCCCTGAACACTAGTCAACATTGAGGGTTGAGGTATATATACTGTCTTAAGAGACAGGATTATCATTGTCTTACATGGCAAAATTTAAAAACTGTAACAAATCTACCAAATCTACTGCACACTTTTTTTCTTTCTTTTTCTTTCTCTCTCTCTCTCTCTCTCTTTTTTTTTTTTTTTGCAGTTCTGGGGATTAAACCCAGGGCCTCATGTGAGCTAGGCAAGAACTTTACCACTGAGCTATAACCGCCAGTCTGCATATTTGTTCTTAAATGTTTCATTAAAAAGACCTCATGGTTTAGAAAAATGGCTTGCTAAATACAATTCATGAATGTTGAGGACATGTTACTAAATAAACAATAAGAAGTATTTTTCATTTATCCCAATATAATGCTATTACCTAATGAGTAATTTCAGTGATATAGTCATAAAAGTATAGAAATGAAAAAAAATACCTTAATAATATTCTGTAGAACCTTCTCATTCACCACTGCTTTATGACAGGCTGTTTTTTGGTATAAATCCACAACTACTTCTAAAGACCTTTCAGCAAATGGTACATAATTCAAGGCTACCCATTCCGCCTAGAAAGTAATATTTTCAGAGAGAGTTAAAAAAAATGGGATTAAAGAAAATTATGTTGTTTTAAAAACAAAAAAAAGCTTTGTCTTAAAGTTCAGGCCTTGGTCTTAAGTCAGATCACATTACATGCAAAGTTCTCGAAGAGATATGTGCTAAATGAAAAAATAATTTTTAGCCAGGCAAAAATTAACACTATTGGAAAAAGCAGAGAGCATTTCTATGAAGAACTGGGAAATACATACTTAATTTGTTGCCAATAGGTTAGGACAATTTTAGGAACTTTAACTCACCGGTGCAAATAGTTGGATCTATTGTGATTCCATTGTGTTGCAAGACAAATAGAATGAGAAAAGTTAATACATATTAAAACTACTTTTTGGACTATATAAACTATAATTTTTTATGCTGGGTGAACAAAATCAGCATATGCATGCATTTAGAAATTGACTTTTCCCCTAAGCCCAAATGAAGTCAAAATTTGACTATTGCTATAAAAATGTTTTACATAAAATCCAACTAAATTTCACACCAGTAACAGACAACTTCTTATTCAGTACACACATATTTCTTCATCTTGTATTGTAAATATCTATTTTAGATAAGATTAGGCTTAGGGGTTTAAAAGCTGCTTCGTAGTGCGATAGGGCAACCAAGAAAAAGGTTTCAAGGAATTTACCCTTTTTCAAGAAACATGTACTAGAGAGTAACATGAAAGGTAAAACTTTCTGAAGAACTACTTGGGAAAGTCATAAACCAGGAGGAATGAACACAGAAATGGTTTCTCAAATAATATTCTGTTCAGCTTAAATTGTTAACAGACACCTGTAAGTTTATTTTGAATGAAAATTCTTTTTCTGAGATAAAGTGCATCTTAATTGGAACTGACCATATGTGAATTAAAAACATTCTTTTTCCAAGATAATCAAAGTCCATCTTAAGTGGAATTGACTGTTTTTATAAGCCATGAAATCTCACAGAATAAATAAAATTTATAGTAAATTACCTGATTATATTTTGCATTTGCAATGTGCTTTGTTTCCAGCTGTCCATACTGTGGAGGTTTACAGGAAAATTCTACAAATGCCAGTAACTGGTCAAATATAGCTGGATACATTATCTGCATGTTTTCTGGTCCTACACAGATGGCCTAAAAAGCAAAATATGAACATTAGAATGCAGAAGTTCTTTACTATATACATATTTGGTTAACCCAAGAATTTTAAAGACTGTACTATTTTATGTCAGTATTATACCATCTTTTATATACTTTGAAAGATATTTAAACTATTTAAAACTATTATTGAATAAAATAAAAATAGTCTCAAAGTGTTAATCAGCTTTTAAAAATGCTTGTTAATAAAGCACAATTTATTTCTTAGCACAGAAGAAAAGGGGTAAGTACTTAAAGTCCCAGGCAGTCCTGAGGTTCTACAACTGATTTGTTCAGTAATACAGCTATCAGAATAAAAGTGCTTCACTGACCAAGATGATACTGGTTTCTACTTAAGTGATATCAGTTCACTGAAATGATAGATCATTTCTGCATCATGCCTGGTCTACCAACCTTAACAAATAATCATGTGCACTACAGTTGGGAAAATAAGTCATCTGTAAAAATTTGTTTTAAAAAATTACATATTAAATTTAACAGGCTAAATATTCAATGTCTAATTCCTCTGAATAAATCTGACTTAAAACAAGAAAATATTTTAATACAAATTAATAACATATCATTTTAATGAATACTAGCTAGTTTCTCTAATTATATTACTTCAAATAATTAAACAGAAAGAATAAAATGTATATCCTGATACTGTAGATTATGACTTCAAATATGCTAAAAATATTTAAATATTTATTGGCAATATTTATGGAGTATTTAAAATACCATTGTGCTGTACAAAATAAAAAACATAATCACTGTACACTTAAAAGGGTATTTTGAGTGTACCCTCAAAACACTAAACTAAAATTTAAAGTTTTATTTATTTAGCTTTATTTTTTTACTTTTTACTGGGTATATTTTACTCAGGGCCTTACACATGCTAGAAAAGCATTTAAAAATTTTAAGAAAAAACTTTAAAAAATATTTTTTATACAATCTGTGGCTTTTTAAATTTTTTTAATTTGTTCTAATCAGTTATACATGACAGCAGAATGCTCTTTGATTCACTGTACACAAACAGCACAATTTTTCACTTCTCTGGTTGTACAAGAAGTAGGGGCACAACATTTGTGCAATCATACACGTACCTAGGGTAGTGATGTCTGTCTCATCCCACCATCTTTCCTACCCCCATTCCCTCTCTCCTCCCCTCCCTCACCTTTGCCCAGTCCAAAGTTTCTCCACTGTCCCATGCCCCCCCATCTATGACTTTTAAAACTTATCAGATTATTTTATCCCTGCCTCCTAGACATTTATCTATGACTAAAATTTAGATAAAACTGCACTGAGATAAAAAGCAGATAAGCAAGGGCTGTCCACACATAAGTTAGATCATCCTACAATTACAGTGTAGTAAAATACAATAAAGACATCTAATAACAACTCTCAACATTTGGTTATTTTTCTCAAAAACAGTGAATAGAGAACTTGAATAAAATTTATACATTCTAAAGAAAATTATCTTTTCTGACTGCTTCTAATAGTTCTACTTTCTTCTTTATTAACCTTTTGCTGGGATCTCAACTCTTGGAAGTAAACAAGTGGTAATTAATTATAGTGGATACTGTCACCACTCTAAGTGTTGGATGCTCTAATCGTGTAGATGCTCCAGAAAGCTAAGTATCACAATTTCTTTAGAAGTATCTTCCATGATAGTATTTTTGATTATGCATTTGATTTCCAATGGTCTTTTTTTGAAAACATACTAACAGTGGTATTGCTGACTTATTAATCAATTCTAGGACTATGAAATGCAAAATATGAAAGCCCCCTTTCCTTTTGGGGAACAAATTTCATCCAAGAAAAATTTTTATTGGCTTTTCTTCAGTATTCTGAAGTTTATCAGAAAAATATACAGGATGAACCTAAAAACAAATTTTAGTAAAGAGATGAAAATTGATAATCTGGGCAATATTTCTTATTAGTCCTTGAAAGCCATATACATAAAAACAAGAAAAGAAATAGTTTAAGGTTTTGCTTAGTAACTCATGTACCAACACATCATCTAGTCGCAGCCTTGTACTAATGTCTTTGCCAGAGAACATGATGATAAAAATAATAAGGGCTAACATTTACTCAGTGTTTACCTTCTGTCAGGTACTGGAGCATGGGAGGAATGGATGAACTCTAGATTCAGCAGAGGGGTTGGAGGGGAAGGGAGGTGGCATGAGGTTATAAATGATGGTGGAATGTGATGACCATTATTATCCAAAGTACATGTATGAAGACACAAATTGGTGTGAATATACTTTGTATACAACCAGAGATATGAAAAATTGTGCTTTATATGTGTAATAAGAATTGTAATACAATCCGCTGTCATATAAAAATTAAAAAATGCCTTACAAATTCTACTTAAAAGGCAAAAAGTTGTAGATTTATTTTTATCTTACAAATGAGGAAGCTGAATATAAAAAGATTAAGAAACTTGCCATATATTCTGTAGAAGATAGGGGTTCATTACACAACTCCAAAGACACATTCACACACAATGTGATAGTGTCTCTGAAGTACAAGTCCAGCAGTCATACATTGTACCCAGCTACCTGACCTAAAGAAGCTTAGCAATACATAAGTCAGATGTAGTCTCCTGACATCAGAACTTATAGTACATTACATACACAAAGCAGACATTCAAATTATCAGTTCCCCCATGTATGCAAAAATAATTTAGGAAAAAATTCAATTAGCACACATAACCAAGTCAGGCTGGTCAGTAACTAGTCCTATGAGAAACAAGACTAAGATTATGAAGCACTAAATAATATAAGGGTAACTAATAATGTTGAAGAGAGTTTTTCCTTTAGGACAGAAAATTGGTTGTAATCAAGGAAATGTTTTGCTAGATAGTTCAAAGATAAAATCCCAAAGTAAATTTTGCTTGTGCAAAAATTTTCTAACACTTGTAGAAAGTATAAAATCACTTACTGAAATAAATTGTTAATTTTTCTGTTAGAAGATACTAAAATAAATTTCACATTCAAGGTTTGTGCAACATCAGGTAATTATGCAAAGAATAAAACAATGGCTAGAGTATAAATTAATAATCATATAAAAATGATATGAACTGATATAAATGAAATATAAAGCTTCCTAAATTTCAGATATATATTTTGTTTTCAAGGTATCAAAAGCTCAGAATAAACTCCTAATACTTGGATGAATGATTCCACTTGTTCTCCTATTGATAAAACAGAGTTTAAAAATTGAAATATACTTTTTTTCCTTGAAAGGTAGTTAAGGTGTTGTTTTTATCTTCTACATATATTTTAAAACCTGAATCAAACATGTCAATGAGAGATCTAGATTATAAGTATTTCTGAAAGGCCTATAACTTTATTTTCTGTTAGAAAAACTTTTTTGAGGATCAACTGAGGGTTCCCTTTATAATCAATTTATTTATTTGTCCAGTGGGGGGAGTAATTATTGATAGACTACATTTTTCCCCAATGAAAACAAAAAGTTATTTTCACTTCAAATTGTGGGAAATTAATATTTTTTTCCTCCAAACTGCAAATTGCCCCAAGTTTTATTTGTAGTCCATACAAAAGTGGGGGTGGGAATTAAGGTTTTCTAACACCACCTATGGTGGTGATGGGGAATTGGGACTGTGATAAACATAATAAGAGCTAACATTTTATTAGCTCACCATCTCTAGAACATCAGTGGTGAGCAGTGATTTGGACACATACCAACTGACTGTCCCAATAGGATCTCAGTCTCAACAGTCTACAGAGGAACAATCAGGGCCCCCTGGACTGCTGGCACAGCTTGGTGTATAGAAAATGATTAAGCTAACCCTTTCCTGGCCTCCCTCACATCTAAATGAAAAAGGTGTCGCCAATCTCAGCTGCAGGTTGCTTCCCCATCCAGATCTAGCTCAGTTGGTAGAGTGCTTGCCTAGCATGCATAAGGCCATGGTTTCAATCCCCAGCAGCAGCAGCAGCAGCAGCAGCAGCAGCACCACCACCACCACCACCACCACCACACACACACACACACACACACACACAAAGTAATTCCCATTCTGGAGAGATGGGAGGCAGGGTAGAAATATTAAGTATTCCTCACAATTTTCTAAAATGCCAGATTTTCTTAAATTTTAATTTTCTCCACATTTGTTTCCCTGTATAATGCAACTAAGGATTAAATAGAGAACAAATTACTACTTAGCTATATTGCCTTCAGAGGCAATTAAGTGATATCATGGTTATTAGAAGTATTTTCATTATTACTATGAAAGTTTTCATCACTCTAGTTGGATAAAACAATCAATTAGGTGGGCACGGTGGCACATGCCTATAATCCCAGCGGTTTGAAAGGCTGAGACAGGAGCATTGCAAGTTCAAATCAGTCTTAGCAACTTAGCAAGACACTGTCTCTAAATAAAATATAAAAAAGGGCTGGAGATGAGGCTCAATGGCTAAGTGCCCCTTATTTCCATACTGCCTCCCCAACCCCCAAATAAGGGAGAATGGATGTAGATCAGTGCCAAATTGCCCTAGGTTAAATCCCCAGAATGTGCGAGAAACACACACAAACACACACACACACACACAACACAAACAAAAAAATTTGGTTAATTAAAAAACATGATTTTCATCATTTAACAACTGAAAATCTCTATGTGATCAGAATCTAGTTTTGTTTTTTGTTTTTGTAGTGTGGATTAAACCCAGAGTGTTTATTGAGCTGTATATCTCCAGGCTTTTTTGAGACAGGGTCTCATTAAATTGCCCAGGCTAGACTCAAACTTGTGATTCTCCTGCCTCAGTTTCTGGAGGTGCTGGGGTTTTAGGCATGCCTGCCTAGAATCTAGTTGTATTTTGCTTTTGTTAGAGTATCTTGGAATGGCAGGCTTTTCAGTTGACTGTTTATATTTGAGCTATAATCCCAACCTTCAGCTGACCCTTTATTTTGTTTAACATTATGATTCTGAATTGTGCTATCAATTTCCTTGATAATCTAAAAACACTTCTATTGTTATCTAGTTTTACTTCATAATTTGGATTTGCTCAATGATTTTGTTTTTTTTAATTTTACTGGGGAGTGAATCCAGGGACACTTAACCACTTAGCCAAATCCCTGCCCCCCCCCCTTTTTTTTTATATTTTATTTAGAGACAGGGTCTCACTGAGTTACTCAGGGCCTCTCTAAGTTGGTGAGGCTGGCTTTGAACTTATGATCCTGCTGCCTCAGCATTCTAAGCCATTGGGATTACAGGCATGCACCATTACGCCTAGCTTTTTCAATGATTTTTAGGTCTGCTTGTTTTAATGATTAGCTATTTTTGCAATAACAAAACCCAAAGCTAAAAATGTAACTTCTTAAAATTTCTGTGAGAAAAAGACTTTTATAAACTTATCCTTTATTAATGTGGATTTCTAATAAATTAGGAATTAAATTTAAGTACAAATGAAAACAATACCAAAATATAATCCCAATTCTTATTAATTTTTGAATAATAATACCATATTCTTTTGTGAAAAACTGTATTAACATATCAAAAATGCTGGTGAACTGGAATAAGAGCATGCAGGCAGCTTCTTAAAAGACTCAAAGTAGGCCTTAATTACCTTTTTGAAAATACCAGAAAGCTGTGAGTCTTTTAAGTAACTATATCTTGACAATCCTGAATTTATCCTCAAGTACACTTACACAACAATTTGATAGTCTAGAATTTATCCTTGAAAATATATAGCAAAGTTAAAAAAAATTCATAAAACCATATTAATTACTGCTTAGTCAATAAAATCATATTACCTTTTGGAGAACATCTAAAGCTGTAAGTACAGCTTCCTGTAAACTTGTCAGAACTGCTTCAGTATAAGATGGAAGAATAAAAGGAGATGCATCTGAACTTATTGGAACTGAAACAGCACTGTGTAATATGACTCCCAACTTTTGCAAGTCATCCATGTTAAAACCAGTTTTTATGTGTTGGTAAAGTGCTGGAAATATCTGAATTAAAGCTGTAAGAAAGGGTTGGCTGGGAATAAAAGTTAGTTTATCAAAAGTAATAGGAGGCTTAGTGCTTTCAGATCCAATTCTATACCAAGTATTCCACGCAGCCCACCAGAGATTCAAGTCTTCAAGCTCATCAGTAACTATGGGTGGCTCAGAGTTACTATATCTTCCAAGTCTTTCTCCAATAGAATCTGTTCTTATGAATGGCCGGCTTAAACCAGGGCCTGAGATAGGCCCAATAAGGACAGGCACAGGTACATTAACTACAGGTGAAGTCTCAGGCTTATCTGAGTCTCTGACAGGGGACACAATCTGTAAAATTTCCTGGAAGCTTTTCAGAGCAGCCAGAGACACTTCATTGTTTTTGCTGAGTGCTGCTGACTGTATATGGTCAAGAAGAACATCCCAAGCTCTTGAAAAATCTCCTATATTAAGAAGAGAAAGAAATTCAATTAGCATAAAAGTAATCAAATTTTCTCTTATTATTAGACTCTTTAAAATAATTTTGCTTCATTTTTTTCCAAGAATCACACAGAACTAAAAAAATATATAATTAGGTACTAACAACGTGAATTAAAATCATCAGAACCCAGAAATCCAGCAATAAATTTGTTTTTCAGATACAGGAACAAAAAACACCAAGATGACAGTAGGAATATCAAATAATTTCTTGGTTTTAAAAATAAAATGTGTATGTATACATGTTTATACTATTTCCTAGAACTATTAGTATAGTTTATACTATTTCTATTAGTATAGTTTATACTATTTCCTATTTTCAGCAGAACATGGGTTGAATGGTAGTTGTTAGTTTCCACTAATCAGCTCAATATTCCTTGACTCCTGTGACAAATTAACTACATTAATAATGAAGCACTCTATGACCTGGTGCAGTCTGTTCCCATGAGGCTCAAAAGAAAAAAAAAATCCTGTAGCAATGAAGTGCAATGATTTTATTCATAAAATAATTATCCAGATTTTTTTCAAGATGGCAGAATAGAGGAGGTCGTTTCCTGGCTGCTCTGTGGAGTGAACCAAGAAAGCAGACAGGCAGCTTCTCATTAAGGTGAGTAAACACAAAGGGGGGGGGGTATACTTTAATGGAATTTAATATTGGACATTCAAAGATCAGGGACTCAGGAGATTGGATATAATAAAATAAGGAAGAAATCCCCAGGGGCATAGCCATTGCCTAGGCTGGGCTAGAAGCACCAGCTAGAATGGTCCCTCTGCAAGAGATGTGGAGGGATAAGGAAATTAAAGGAAACCACATTTTTAGGAGGCCTAAGGCATGTCTGGGTACAAAGTATTTAGAGACCAAGGACAATGCCTGATTAAAATGAAAGGCATGCTACACAATATCCTTATGCAGCTATCATCTCACCTGGCTGCATGCGGAGGATAAGAAAAGAAACCATTTTGAGTCATGGAAACCATTTTGAGTCACGGCATGGAGCCAAGAGCTGAGGGATCTGATTCCTGGCAAACCCTAGTTTGGCCCAAAATACAGGCCCAGTAAACACAAAATGCATGACAGAGTGTACTTAAGTGACAAAGAGAAAATCAAACATGGAGAGAATTTTACATAGGGGACAACTAGTTGCAGAAACCCACCTGGCTCTACCTCCCCCGCTTCAATGTGACTGCATGGACAGGCTGGGAGAGACACACCTGGCTGGGAATTTGAAGAGCAGGGGCAGAAGAGAGTGAATTTGGAGACTGACCCAAGACAGGAAACATGGGGTCTGCAAGTGACACAGGGGACTAAGAATTGGCTTCTCTACCACAAAACTTGCTATTTTGAGTAGAACCCAGGGGAGATCCCTGGGGTACAGTCTTCCAGCATGTACAGACAATTACAGGGCTCTGGAGGTATGATTATTTAAAATCTCCAGACCAACTGGCATTCAGCAAAGAGCCTGGAGCCCAGCTAAGCCTAAACCCTACCTCCTAAAGTTCTGCTTGGGATTACCTCTCTCCAGGAATCCAGAGGGTGTAGCATAACACTCTACCCAAAACTGCTGAGAAGAGCAGCAAATAATCTTTTGTACTCCAACAGGAAGAGTTTTTTAACTTTTGAGATTTTTTTTTCTTTTTTCTTTTCCCTGTTTAATTGTGACATTAATGGTACATGGACATTTACACATATTCCAATCTGTTTTTTTCTCATTTCTAGCATTTTTGAAGCTATTTTATGTGGATCAGTTTTTTGAGGAGTAGGATGTTTGCTTAGCATATTTTAGCTTTGTTTTGTATTTTTTTATTTTTATTTTTTTTAAATTTTTACTTTAAGTATACATTTTTCCCTTAGCTATCCGTTTCCCTTGATTCTCTTTCTCTATTTTCCACTAAAAGCCGATCTCTATTGTTATCATTTTCACTCTTCCTTTAATCTTTCACTTCTCTCTTCTCTGCTCTTCCCTCATAATCATTACATCCTATATCAGTCTGTTGTCACCCTGTTTATCACTTGAAATTATAAACCTTTTGCAAACTTGCTATTTTTATTGTAGGTAATAACTGATCATATAATTTCTGTTTATAGTGATAATTTTCACTATAGACATAAATAACTATTATAATTATAGAACAGAAACTATTTGGTTTAATACTGCATATTGTTGTTATTATCTGTCTCCCCCTAAACAGTAAGGTACTGGAAATTTTCAGGGACACTAGGAGTCCACAGAGCTGACTGCCTCAGACCCATACTGTTAGATGGGTAGACACACAAACAATATGAAAAAGCCAGGGAACAAATGCCCCAAAGAAGCTAATATATTCCAATAACCAAATCCATTGACACCACAGGGGAAAAAATATAAGAGGAGGAGTTTAGGATGTACATAGTTAAACTGATCTGCAAAGTAAAGGACAGTACAAGGAGAGAAATCAGAGAAAATACAGGAAGTGAAGAATCACTTCAATAAAGAGAGATTCTGATAAAAACCAAGCAGAAATCCTCAAAATGAAGAAATCAATAGACCAAATTAAAAAATTCAATTGAAAGCATTACCAAAGACTAGAACACTTGGAAGAAAAAGTTTCAGCCAATGATAACAAATATATTATCTTGAAAACAAAGTTGACCATGGAGAAAAGATGTTAAGAGACCATGAACAGAACTTTCAGTAAGTACGGGATAGTCTGAAAAGACCAAATTTAAGATTTATTGGGATAGATGAAGGCTTGAAGATAAAAACGAAATAAATGCACACTCTTTTCAATGAAATAATATAAAAAAATTTCCCAAACCAAAAGAATGAAATAAAAAAATTAAATATAGGAGGCAAACAGGACCTCAAATATACAAAATTATAACAGACCCACACTAAGGCACATTATTATGAAAATGCTTAATATATACAATAAGGATAGAATTTTAAAGGCTGCCAGAGAAAAACAATATGTAAAATTTAGAGAGAAACCAATCCAGGTCTCAGCTGATCTCTCAACCCAGACCCATATATTTGGAGGTCTTGGAATAATATATACCAAGCTCTGAAAGAAAATGGATGCCAATCAAGAATACTACACCCAGCAAAATTAAGCTTCAGAATTGCTGATGAAATGAAAACCTTCCATGATAAACAAAATTTAAAAGAATTTACAACCAGAAAGCCTGCACTACGGAACATTCTCAACAAAATATTCCATGAGGACGAAAAAAAAAAAAAGTGAAAACCAGCAAAGGGAGGAAGTACACTAAAAAAACAGTGAATCAATGGAGAAGCTAATTCAAATTAAAAACCAAAAAATAAATCAAAGTGACAGGGAATAAAAATCATATCTCAGGGCTGGGGTTGTAACTCAGTGGTAGAGCACTTGCCTAGTATGTGTGGGGCACTGTGTTTGATCTTCAGCACCATATAAAAATAAATTTTAAAAAATTAAGGTATTGTGTCCATCGAAAACAAAAAAAAATCATATCTCAATAATAACATTGAATGTACATGGCCTAAACTCATCAATCAAAAGATAGACTGGCAGAATGGATTAAAAAGCAAGACTCCACAATATCCTGTCTCCAAGAGACTCACCTCATAGGCAAAGACATCCACAGACTGAAGGTAAAAGGATAGGAAAAAAACATATCATTCTGATGGATCTCGTAAACAAGCAGGGGTTTCTATCCTCATATCAAATAAAGTGGACTTCAAGCCAAAGTTATCAGAAGGGACAAAGAAGGACATTTCATACTACTTAAGAGAATCATACATCATTAATACATAACAATCAGAAATTTTTACGCCCCAAACATCGGAGCATCTACATTCATCAAATAAACCCTTGTCAATTTCAAGAAGCAAATAGACCACCACACAATAATACTGGGTGACTTTAACACTCCTTTGTCACCATTGGATAGACCCTCTAAACAAAAACTAAATAAAAAAGCTACAGAACTAAAAAATACAATTAATATTTTAGACCTAACAGACACAGAGAATATTTTGTCCATCCAAGACTGAATACAATTTCTTCTCAGCAGCAAATGGATCCTTCTCTAAAACAGACCATATCATAGGCACAAGGCAACTCTTAGCAAATACAAAAAAATTGAAATAATACCTTGTATTTTATCACATCATAATGAACTGAAATGAGAAATCAGCGATAAAATAAAAAAAAAAAAAAGGAAGCTACTCTAACACCTGGAGATTAAATACTATGCTACTGAATGACAAATAGATAGCAGAAGAAATCAGGGATGAATTTAAAAATTCTTAGATGTAAATGACAATACCAATACAACAAATCAAAATATCTGGGACACTATGAAGGCAGTGATAAGAGGAAAGTTCAATGCACTGAGCTCATTCATAATAGAAAGTTAACAAATAAATAACCTAATATTATATCTCAAAGCCCTAGAAAAAGAACAAATCAACACCCAAAGCAGTAGAAGACAGGAAATAATTAAAATCAGAGCTGAAATCAATGAAACTGAAGCAAAAGAAACAATCCAAAACAACTCACAAAAAAAAGTTGGTTCTTTGAAAAAAATCAATAAAATTAATAAACCCTTAGATGAGCTAACAGAGAGAGAGAAAACTCAAATTACAAAAATTTGTGATGAAGAAGGAAATAATCAAAATGGACACTACTGAAACATAGATGATGACCAGAACCTGTTTTGAAAATTTATACCCTAATAAAATATATAATTTTGAAGACATGAACAAAGTATTAAAGATATATGACCTACCCAAATTGAATCAGGGAGACACAGAAAATTAAAACAGATCAATTTCAAGCAATGAAATTGAAAATGGCACCAAAACCCTACCAAGAAAGAAAAGCCCAGGACCAGAGGGATTCTCAGCCAAGTTCCACCAGACTTTCAAAGAAGAACAAACATCAAACCTCCTCAAATTATTCCATGAAATAGAAAAGCGGGAAGCCCTTTCAAACTCATTCTACG